ATATATAGCAATCGGAGCAAACTGAGATATACAAGATAAATGGAAAGTCTTAACGACGCAATTGGAAGTGCGAAACTGCGCAAAACCAACATTGGCCGTAATTCGAAGGCGATGCAACATCGCGGAAGAAAGAACGCGAAACTGGCTGACGTAAATCCAGATTTTATTCGTGCGTAAACCACTGATTTAATTGCATACCAAGTTGAATAAAATTATAACAGAAGTTGAACGCGTAAAATAACACAATGAACAAATAGAGAAGCACCAAATACGGTCGAGGCTGGATCTCGGATATGTCTAATAATATTTCTATGTAAATTTAAAATTAAAATAATCTCCCTTCGCCTACATTGTGAATTACAAATATGTCACTTGCGCAAATTCTTTATGCAAGGCACGCTATATATCGCGCTTCGATAAGTTATAACTTACGAGTTAATAATAGTATATTATCTCTAAATTTGCACATGGCGCAGTACGCGAAACGACCTCGAGAAAAACGAATCGATTAATTCTAGCAAAGGCGTAAAATTACTACGTCTTTTCCCAAGTGAATCGCGTCCGTTCGCTAGTTCCGATCGATTGGAATCGTGACAATGGCTATCATGGGCAAGGTCGAGCGGACGGAGAGCGAATCTCTGAAAGGTAGAGACGTCGCCATAAAAACAAAGAAAGAAACGGACGTCGATATTTTCGGTAAAGCAGCAGGTCTGCATTCCTAGTCTGCTTCGCGTGCGTAGATTATTTCGTGTTTTCACGATTCCTTGCTACGTAACCGTGCGAGCGCAATTATTAAGTCGATTATAACTTTGGAAACACCGACTCTCACGTTTAAGCGCCACACGTAAACTCTACGATAAACTACGTACTCAAAATGTATGAAATTATTTATGGAGTCGTAAATTTCAATTCACATTGGAAGAAATCGCAATATAAAAATCAAGGGAATATTGAAAGAGAGAAACGATTGGAAAAAAGCGCTATACATGCTGCGGAAAGGACGGTTTTGCTAAAGTATTTAAAAATTTAACGAGATACAGATCTGAAAATACATAATTTTGTTGAATCGTCAAATAATTACGTAAGAATTTCAAACATGATGAGTGATATTGCAGAGTTTTAACGTATTCTAACAGTCAGTCTTAATTATCTTGCATAATTATTGTAATAATCCAACAAAATTATTTTCAGATCTGTATCTCGCTAAATTTTTAAATATTTTAGCAAAACCGTCTTTCCGTGTGCGCTTATCGAAACTTTTGTACAAATGAAATATGTACACTGTTAGACATCAAATGAACGATGGTAATCTAATTCCTTAAGTTAAATAACATTATATTATTTTTAATTTTCATGTGTCAAAATGTAAATTAATCTATTTCCGTGGTTAATCTTTCTCAAAGTAAAAAACGTCCATATTACCGTATTCACTTAATAAATAATGAATTAATTTGAGTCAAATTTAATACATTTTCTTGAATTAAATCGTTTATCTCCATTGTTTTAGTGAAATTAACGACGATATTGAGTAATAATGACTTATAGAAATGATTAAAAATAACTGAAAATAGAATTTGACGTTATAAATTTAATAATATACACGGAAAGAATAACTTTGCTGAAGTCTCTAAAAATTTAGCTGATACGGATCTGAAAGTAATTTTGTTGAATCAAAATAATTATATAGGAATCTCAAGCGTGATGAGTAATGCTGCAAAAATTTTTGACATTCCGGCAATTAGTTTGAACATCCTACATGTTTATTTTGATCTAACAAAATTATTTCCAAATCTATATATATAGCTAAATTTTTAGATACTTCAGCGAAACCATCCTTTCTGTACTTTATCGCGTTAATGTGTACGAGATTATTATGTGCGTAAAATTACAGTGCACGAGAGAAAAGGATGAATATTTCGGTCCACTGTGGAAGTAGCCGCGCGTAGGATGGGTAACACATCGCTCTGGCACATTGCTAATCGTCAGGCTTTTATAGCGCGCGTGCCATCGCACAGTGGATAATAAATGCGACGGACGATGATAAACGGCACATAATATGATCCGCTTTGACGCACATACATATGTACACACACGTACACATCAACCCGTAAAATCACTTATTTGCCATCCTGCCGACGAAAATGATAATTCATCGAATGCAAACTGCCCGAACCAAAACACGCGGACGCGAATTCGCACCTTTCATCCAAACGGTTTCTATAATAATTGCTTCGACGTATAACTGCATATGGCATATAATTCAAAATAACCTTGGACGAGAATTAAAATATCTCGTTGTATGCGCACATAAGTTTCGCCACGATGATAATCGAGCGCGTCGCCGACTGTTTGTTCGCGCCGAATTTATCGAACGACAATATTAGCACAAGTTGACTGAAGCCGTCTTCGGCAAGCGTTTTCAATGCACTTTGCGTCCGTTACGGCACTATGCACGTCACGTCAAGTCTGCACGGTGATAAACATGAATCGAGCAATAAGCGCGAATCAAATCAAACAATGATTGACGTTGCCTGATTGACGTTCAATTTGTTTATTTGTAAAAAGAATGTAGAGAACTAAAGCTGCAAGAAATATTCAGACGCTTCTATTAAGATAATTAAAAATGAAAAATACCTTTTAGTTTATTTTTAACTTTAATTTATTGAATTACACGCTATTGCCTGAAATAGAAGAAAGTTAAGTAACGGATTATTAAAATCTAATTATAACAGAGCAAGGAAAATATATACAGCAAGCGGAGAAATTACGTTTCTCTTAAGAGTAACATCATCGAATTAAGAAATGAATAAAGCGATCAAGAGAACAATTTGAGCAAGAAAAGACGCTAAAGTCAATGAGAAACACTCGGCTCGTATTGTCGACGAGACTAGACGACTCATTGTCGCGTTCATAAATTCTCGTTAGTCTCTGCTAACACCGTGTAATAACTTAGAGACGCTATTGCGCGGTCGAGCGCGTCTAACGGAAACGTCACGTCTATCGCGCGTCGCGTATACTCTGCAAAAAGTTCACTGACTTCCGCCGCACGGATTTACGTGTGGAACTTAAATTAAATTTTTCGATTCAATTTTCGTATTAATTATTATTTGCTCAATTTATACCGGATATTTTTTTAACCATATTTTTAATTAATTTCAGTTTATATTATCTGAGCGTTATCCACATCTTTTGAGTTTATACATACAGAAATCAATCTACTGCTAAGAAAAGTGAATCTTTATCAAAGAATATTTTCTTGATAATAATCTTAAAACATACTTATTACAAAATTTCTAAAAAAACTCATTATTATGTACTCAAAACAAGAATTTCTTTACAAACAATATTATTTTAGGCCGTTTATGTGAGAAAACAATCAATATTAAAATACCTATAACGGTCGAAACTGGATCTTTAGTGCTTAAATAATTCAATCTTGAATTACTAAATATACTATATATATATATATACTTGCTATAGACCATATTTGTGTAGTCTTTTGAACTGCGCGCTGAATTCTTTTCCCGACTATATAAACGCAATTAAACTACTGTAGTAAACTCGTGAATTAAATTGACAAGTAATTTTAATAATTTCGATGTTCAATCGAAAACTGTAATTAAATTTATTGCGAAAAAAAAATATTTTCTTTTGAAGAATATGATAAAATTGAAAATCGAAGAAACAAATTTTTCATAATATAAACAAATCAAATTTCTTTTAATTTAATAAACTTGATTGAAGTATTAAACACTTTATACTACGATTCAGAATATATTTTGAATAAATTTAATGCTCGTGATGAACTTATGATAGATTTGCGGATATATGAACTTTTGAAATACTTTAAATAAGCAATTATTATTTACATAGAGTAATTATTATTTGCATATTTTTCTGTATGTATTATTTCACTCGGCTTTGCCAAGAAAAGGGTTTTTTTTTTCGGATTATTTTTAAGCCTATTTAAATGTATTTTTTGCGATGTCTACACTGAAAAAAAAGATTGGCTGCTGCAGCAAATTAGATGGTAAAATATGGCATAGCATTTTTAATTGGTTGCAGCAG